GCTGAGTTTGGGACAAGAATTTGGCGTGCGCTGACAGTAACCGAAGAGGGCAGGAATGCGGAGTGAAGGAGGAAGACAGAAGATATTGGACTGAATTAATCAGTGAAGAAGTCTCTGATGATGAGGTCGCAGGAAGTTAATAAATTCGACTCCTTAATGTTCACCTACAGTTTTTGTTTGTTTGTTTGTTTTCTCAGTACTGGGGACTGAGCCAGGGTCATCGCACTGAGCTACATCCCTGGCTCTATTTATTTTTTAAAACAGGATCTGGCTAAGTCACTAAGTTACCCGGGCTGGGCTCAAGCTTATAATCCTCCTGTCTCAGCCTCCCAGAGGGGTGGGATTACAGGAGGGTGCCAGGGCATCTGGCTCTTTGCAGTTATTTTTGTTCTGTTGGTGTAACTGTGCTGCAAATCTTCCCAAAAAGTGGAATTTCTCCAGTTACCTAAAACTTTGGTCAAGTTTGCTACAGCACCATCATTTCCATGAGTTTTTGTGAATACTGAGAAAAGTTCTGCAGGTGAGTCGACATGTGTAAAACAGAAATCAGGCATGGGAATGACAAAATGATTCCTAAATTGGTGAAAGCAAAACAAACAAGAATGTCCCTAGGTAATCCACAGAAATCTTGGGGTGGGTTTTGGATTTTCAGTACTTGTGTAATGAGAGATTTTGTTTTGTTTGTTTTGTAGTACTGGTGACTGAACCAAGGACCTTCACACTGAGCTACAACCGCAGCCCGTTTAAAATTATTTTTAATATATTTTGAGACAAGAACTTGCTAAGTTGCCCAGGCTGTGCTCCAACTTGCGATCCTCCTGCTTCAGCTTCCTGAGTAGCTGGGATGACAGGTGTTTGCCACAACCTGCAACTCCCAAGCCATTTTTAATGGTCCCTTTTGCATAGAAAAATATGAAAACAGGGTCCTTTACTGATTGATATTTTTCCTACATGAACTATTCTGTTATGGTTTTGTTACCAAAGCATGTATATAAAGTACACAGATAGGAAGAACATGAATATATATCCTTTTAGTGGATCATATGAAGAGGTGCACCGTGTGTTTCTGTGATTACATAGCACCGGTAGATAAGTGACTATAGTTCAGGGTGTGATAAGTGTTTTTGTGTCCATACAGAGTACATAAATGGATATAAATGAAGTGATTGAATGAATCTATTTACAAGCCTGTGTAAAAGAAATGTGTTGATTTTGGATCTGAGAAAAACTCCTAAAGAGATTTTTTTCAATGCTTCATAATCGGACTGTATGGAAAGATCAAGTGATTTAGATTTTCTCCTTAGCGTGGTTTGGATACAGGTTGAGTATGTCCTTAAGAGCTCCTGCGTCAAGAGCTTGGTTCTTTGTGGCCGTGTTGGAAGGTGGCATAGAGTATTTGGGGTGGAGCTGACTGGGAGGTAGTCAGATCCCAGGGGACAGTGCTCACAGAAGGAATTCATGTGATTGTGGGACCCTCTGTTAATTCTTTTGTTGCTTTGGTTTTGTGCAGGGGTGTTGGGAGGTGAAGCCTAGTGGGCGGGGCCTGGTCACGGGGAGGAGCCCTTGTCAGTGGACCAATGCTTTTCCCAAGAGAGTAAGTTGTCATAAAGCAAGGCTGCCCCTCTGTCTTGTCCCTTCTGCACACACTCACTCACTTGCCATTGTGCTTTCTGCATGAGTTGAACAGCAGGAAGCCCTCACTAGAAGCAGAGCAGATTCTGCACCACGTTTTCAGCAGCCAGAACTGAGAGTCAAAATAAACCTCATTTCTTCACCAATCACTCGGTCTTAGATATTCTGTTATAGGAACAAAGAATGAGACTTAGACAGAGGGCAGAGACAAGAGGCAGCACAGAAGGGCAGGAGTGGGCGAACTTCTCCCCATCAGGAGAGAACACGGGGCCAGAGGAGAAGGGACATGTGCCTCCTCATCATGACCAGGATCGAGCTCCACAAGGACTCTGTAGATGCCTTAAATGGGACTCAGAGTTTCAACTTTTCACCCTCTGACCCGGAAAAATCACATTATGAGATAGAAGACAAGGGCCCAGTGCTCTCCAAGAGTAACTTCTATTTATTTTTCTTCTTTCTTCCATGGCTGCCCCAAACACCTTGCAGCTGGCCACAACTACATCGGGCACCTCAGAACAACTCCAGGAGATACTTGTTTTCACTGCCCCAGGTGACTCTGAGCCCCTGCAGTCATCCTCAACCAAATCTGTAAGGAGTTGCTCCTCTAGATAGAGGCTGACACCATGCATGTGCTGTCACCACGCATTTTATTCTGTATAAACAACTTCCCCCATGCTTTAATGGGTCGATCTGTGCACGCTTCTTATTGTACTCCATAAGACCTAATAAAGCTTCTTTCAGATAGCAATTTCTGTCTCTGTGGTTTCTATCCTGAGCAGAGCAGGGTGAACTTGTGCACAGCAGGTAACCCCAAAGGCCACTGACACTGACAATCATAGCAGCTGGGGCTGGTGGCTCTGAGGGCAGCTAGTAGCCAGAAAACACAGAGAGCAGTGGTCACGGGAAGAGTTGCTATGGGCTGCCAGCAGCTGCTCTTTCTAGCTCCCAAGAGAGTGAGGAGGCCCCCTAACACTAACAGCTAGTAGCCACTGGCTCTAAGGATTGTTAACACTAAAAGCTCAGGGTTGTTAATACTAAAAGAGCTACACTGCCTAACCATGATTTCTGTCTGAATTGAGCCAAAGAACTCTCAGCTGATCAGTGATACTAACTTTATTTTTTTTTTTAATTTTTTATTTTTTTGGTTTTTCTCCGGTACCGGGAACCAAACTCACGACCTTGCGCTTGCCAGGCAGGTGCTTTGCCACTGAGCTAAATCCCCAGCCCCCAATACTAACTTTATTCATAATAACTACATGACACAATTATTTTGGGCACATTTTCTCTGCTATGGGCAGAATATTTTCCCTCAAAATACAATAAATTAATTTTACTTCATTTTAAAATAATTTTTTTGGGTCTTTTTGAGACAGGGTCTCACTTATGTAGTTCAGGCTGGCCTTGTGCTTAAAATAAATTTAAAGAGTATTTTATTGTACTTAAACATTACATGTTTCTGGAATTGTATTCATTCTTTAGTAATCATTGATTAATTTTACAAGAGTCATCAAATCTCTGATTTTTATTGAGATATTTACATTCTTTCATGAAATATTTTATAACTTGGCCATTACTAAGTTAACAATATGTCTTAGATTGTCTTCATTGACATATACTTAACATTTGAGCCATTGTGGCTCTGTTTCTTTTTTTTTTTTTTTTTTTTTTTTTTTTTTTTCTCCGGTACTGGGAACCGAACTCACGACCTTGCGCTTGCCAGGAAGGCGCTTTTGCCGCTGAGCTAAATCCCCAGCCCCTGTGGCTCTGTTTCTGAGAAAAGGTTAGAATTAAGTTGCTGAGTAAGCAGAGAAAATATATAGTATAGTTTGAGTTGTAGTTTAGCAGAAAATGGCCCCCCGGCCCGTATACTTTAGTTTCTGATAAGTACTATTGCCTGGGTAACCTCCAATTTACTTTAGTTCCTGTTACAGTTCCTGTTATTTCTGTTTCCCAGAAACGGCTGGTCACTGTGATGCACATTTAAGGACCAATCCCAACTGACAAGCCACTTTGCCTCTGTACCTTCACATTGCTACCCCATAGAAACCTCCCTCCCTGAGCCCCAGGCTCGACTTCTTGGAGATGATCCCAGTGAGGACCGCTGGCATAAATAAAGCCGGTTCTCACCCCTAAACCATGGTGCCACACAGTTCTTGGTCACAGCTTTGCTGTTACAGTAATAAAATAGCCCTTTTCCTAGAACTTTTCTTCACTGACAAAAATGCCTAAAATTTCCATTGCTGAAATAATGTTTCAGACTAAAGTGTTCACACCTGTCATTTCCTAGCTGAGGTGATTCAGCAGCAGCCCACGAATGACTCTAGTGTTGTAAAAAAACAATGAGTAACTCCAGGATTTATTATTCTACTACACTCATGGAAGCCTGCCTTCCTCTGACAAATGTCACCTGTCATCACCAACGCCTCTGTCAGTCCTTGTTACTTGTGCTCTAGATCCCACCTCTCCTGGCACCCCCGGAGCCAGACCTTGTCAGTTAGCCCTGTGTGCTGTAACTTCTGTCTGTCTCCTTCTCTCTCTCGTTGCTCTTTCCTCTCCGAACATGAGTATTTTCTGTCCGTAGATAACAGGGGACAGGGAGACAGGTGCTTTGCAAATAGACAGGGGACCAAGAGATGGAGGGATGTGGGAGGGAGGGAAAGGGATGGGGAGTTAAACGAATGGAGATGTGTTCGGCTCATGTACCAACTCCACAAATGAATGTAATCATTATGTGCTACAACGTGCACAGAAAGGTTAAGGGTCCCTGTTAAAAATAGTCTATCTCAAATGGTGTGTGTATATGCGTGTGTGCACCCACATGTGTGTATGTGTATGCACACACATACACACACTTTTTCCATCCAGCTAGGCATGGTGGCACATGCTTGAAATCCCAGCAGTGGGAAGGCAGAGGCAAGAGAATCACCACAACTTCCAGGAAACCGGAGTTACATAATAAGTTCAAGGTCAGCCTGGACTAAGTTGTAAGATCTTGTTTCAAAAAATAAAAAATAAATGAAAACAGAAACTTTTCTCATCCATATCCCCCTTTGGTTCTCAATTCTTGCCCTTCTTTCTTCCACAGCCAAAGATGTGCAAAGAATGCCTGAATGCAGGATCTCTTTGTCCTTGCCTTTCTCAGGGATAACTTGCTTGCAGCCATCACCAGGGAATCCCAAATGCAAGATCCAGAGCAGAGCGTCTCGGTCCTCACCTTCCTTGGCGTCTGCTTTCTTTCTCTCTCCTCCTGTGACTTGATGTTATTTTCATGTCTTTCTAGCTCTCAGTCTCTCTCAAAACATCACTGTCTTCATCCATCCCCCAAAATGTTGACGTCTCCCATGGTCCACCCTCAGCGCTGTCTCTGTCTAACACTGTTATTCTGTTTAGAGAATTTCACTAACCTCATGGTTTCAACTACCACTAACTACCTGGGCTCTCAAGGTTTTCAGCCCAGTTGTCCTTTCAGAATTTTAGCTTTACAAATCAACATGTAAACTGCCCACTGGTCATCTCTGCTTGTGTTTCCCCATGGGGGTGTTTAATTCCGTCTCGACTTGTCTAGCCTGTGGAGACGAATTTGTTTAGTAAAATAGTAGTGTACATGTTGCTGCAAAGGTGGTTTTGTTTGACTTGCTGGGGCCTGAACCCAGGGCCTCAGGCAAGCAACACATATGCTCTTCCACTGAGCTAATAACATCCCTGGCCCCAGAGGTATTTTCTTAGATATGATTCATATTTATGATTAGTTGACCTAAAGTAAAGCAGATTCTCCTCCATAATGTTGGTGGACCTCATCTAATCTTTTGATGGCCTTAAAAACAAAAACTGAGGTTTTCCAAAGGAGGAGTTCTGTCTCCACGGAGCAGCACAGAAGTTTTCCCTGATTTTCCAGCCCTCAAACTCCAGGCTGTCACATCAACTCCTATCTGATCTCCAGTCTGCTGGGTTGGTCTGCGGATTTGGGGTTTGTTAACCCTCAAAACTACATGACCTAATTTCTTAAGATGCCTCTTCTCTTTCTCTGTCTAAACAGACATATAGAGAGTTTATAGGGCTGTGGATTTAGCTCAGCAGCACAGCGCCTGCCTGGCAAGGTCATGAGTTCGATTCCCAGGACCGGAAGAAAAACAAGAAAACAACAACAACAAAAGAGAGTTTATAGATGTTACATATATGTTTTATATATGCTTTATATGAAAACATTTTATTTGAAATTTTTATTTTTATTAGTACATGTCTGCGGTACATAATGATCACATGCATTTTGGGCTGTGTACATAACATATTTTACATCGTTTTACTTCCCCTTCCCATCCCTCTACCTGTTGGTCCCCTTCCCATTTGCAAGAGCTATCTCTCTGTTTCCTATTATCTATCTTTCATTTTATTCTTTAGTTATTTATGCTTTGGGTTTCTCATATAAGAGAAATCAGGCAATATTTAAGCTTGTGTGCTTGATTCATTTTGTTTAACATAGGTTCTCATGGTGCATCCATTTTCCTACAAATCACTTAAATGTATCCTTCTTTATAGCAGAGTAGTACCTCACTGTGTATAAACACCACCCTTTATTTATTCTTTCATCTGTTGATGGGGATATAAGCTGCACTCAAGATTTAGCTATTATGAGTTGTGCGGCTATAAAGATAGGAATGCATGGGTCACTGTAATATGGTGTCTTTAACTCTTTTAGGAAGATACCTAGAAGAGAAAGAGCTAGTTTGAAGGGATTTCTGTTTTTAGTTTTTGAAGAATCTCCACACTGATTTCCATAGTGGTTGTACTGGTTTACGTTCCCACCAACAAAGTAGAAGTTTTCTTTTTCCTCCCATAGCCTTGCCAGCATTTGTTTTACTTGATCTTGATGGTAGCCTTTCTGGAGCAAGATGGAATCTAGTGTTATTTTAACTTGCAGTTCCCTAATGACCAGAGAAATATAATGTTAAATAATAAACATTTGTGTGTGTGTGCATGTGTGGTGCTGGAGATCAAACCAAGGGCCTTGCCGGGCGTGGTGGCACATGCCTATAATCCCAGAACTTGGGAGGCTGAGGCAGGAGGATCATTGCAAGTTTGAGGCCAGCCTGGGCTACAAGGTGAGTTCAAGACCAGCCTGAACTGCATAGTGAGACCCTGTCTCAAAAAGACCAAAAAAACCCAAACAAACAAACAGACAAACAAAACAAAACAAAACAAACCCAAGGCCCTATGCATGCTAGATAAGTGCTCTACCACTAAGCCCTAATTTGATATATATTTTACATATAAATATACCTCTATCTATCTATCTGTCTATCTATCTATCTAGATATGTTTTGTGTCTGTGGTTCTGGGGGTCAAACCCAGGACCTTGCACATGTTGGGTAAGTGTTCTATCACTGACCTATGGTCCCTCCAAATGTCTGAAATTATATATACCCTGTTGGTTTCCTGGAGAACCCTAACGTGCCCATCTTGTACCCTTCTTGTCCAGAGCCCTTAGCACAGCTTCAAGCCTTGTCCCAATCCAGAGCCCTTAGCACAGCCTCAAGCCTTGTCCCAATCCAGCACTCCCTGACAGCCTCACCTGCCTTTCTCAACCCGCCTGCAGTCCTCCTTTCTTGTAGACCCCTCACTCATCCCCAGAGCTCTCCGCTCTTCTGTGCCTTGTGCCTAGGCTCTGTCTGCCCACCATCTGAAATGACTCCTGTGTCTCAGGAGCTAATATCATTAGCAAGGCACTCTTCGGGAACCTCCTGAACATCT